ACTCTGGCTCTTTGGTAAATTTATTAAAACTATATGTGAACAGTACCTAAAATATACATTTTTCTCTTTCCTGTAAGCATAACTGAATTTTGGGTTTGTTATCAACATGCTTGTCTCCCAGTTTTAATCTTTTTAGTGTAGATAATAAAATTGGTGCTTAATAACAAAAACCAATAGGGCAGCATCAGGCATTTATGACTCTTATAAATTGTCAACTGGGTTTTCTGAGAAAATCTGCTTTTTAAAACAGGTGAACAGACTTCCTTTGGGTATATTTTCTAACACATTTAATACTTAATATAGTTTTCAATTAGATAGTAATTTTCTCCACAGATTCTAAAATATGGTATCAGATAATATTTCATATCTTTAGAAAAAGCACCTAGCTATGAAGTATAATTGTTTTACTATGAAATGTTACGAGCTTTTGCACAAATATGAAACTGTCACTTTTTTTTTTAAATGTAAAGTGAGTATATACAGCTCTGGCTGTTTATGCAGAAATCAATTAATTTAAAAATCACTGCAGGTGGTTAGCCATTCCATACTCCTTTGGGGAAGTAGAATAAATGTTTTAGTCCTTCAAGAGTTTATAATCCATTCAATGATCTTGGACTAGAATAGCATACTGCTACTCCTTTTCTTCAACAAAGATCTGAATCTTTTAGTAGCTAATCAGCCTGTAATTGAAATTAAATAAGGTACTAAGTTGATAGAAGAGGATGCAAAATATATAAACAACTAAGAATTAACCATGATTAACTCGTCACACTGCATCCTATTCATTGCATTTCATGGCCCTACATTATTAAATCAAATGATATTACACATACAAATAGAAACCAAAACTGTTCCTTGTTCTATACACTCAACACCAATACACTATTATTTCAGTTCATTAAATACACTACAGAATTCGTAGAATGTGGCAAGTCGTGATCCCTCTGTAACATATACTTTAATATCAGTCAATAAATATTAACTAAAAACAACAGACTGTGTAATATATCATTACTAGGCAATGGAGAAATTAAAGGAAGATATAAGACCCTTCTATTCTGAAGAATTTGCAATTTATTTGGAGAGATTAAGATTTTCATAAAGAAGAGAGAGAAACACTAAGATAAATGAATAAATGCTGCTATTGTTGTGGTTAAGTGCCATCAATTTGGTTGCAAATCACAGAAATCCTGAATAGGGTTTCCAAGAAGTGGCTGGTGAGTTTGAACCTCAAATCCTGTGGTTACCAATTCAGTGCTTATTTTACAGCACCCACAAAATTCACTGCTAAATTGTACGGACATTAAAAGTAACAGAGTTTCAGAGAAGATGAGGGGTGTGTGAAATTGTAAAATATCATCCCAAATCCCTAGACATTTTGTTCTTTTCTTTTCTTTTTTTTTTTTTGCAAACAAGATTATTACCTTTCATTTTACCAAATATCAAGTCAAATTTAAGTTGTTACCATGCCTCCAGTCCACAGATACTCTTTTGTCTCCTCTCTTTGCCTACTCATCATTTATAACTCATTTCTTCTGGAAGCTTTCCTGTTTTACATCCTTTCCAGTGCCTTATCTACTGTCTCCCTCTCTTTTTCCCTGATCTCCCAGATGAATCCAGCATATGGTAGGAGCTACCACTGGGTACGTCAACAGCATCCTGTGTTTTCTCTGTCAAAAACAAGTATTCATAGTAAAATGTGGCAAGTGCCATCTATCTTTCCCACTAGACCATAATAAGCTCCTTGATGCAGAAAACACATCTATCTTGATTTTCACTCCTTTTCTAGCATCTAGCATTGGTGTCTGCTTAATAAATATCGTCTGAATGAATGACTGTCCAATAATATGCATATAGTCTTTAAAAATAAGCCATACTTAGAAAGAAATACCAATAGTCTTCTAACATACCATGTGAAGAGCTGAAAGTTCTTCTGTTAATCGAGAAATTTGTACATTATATTGTTTTCTTGTGTTCGCCACCTATAAATTAAGATATTTACAAATCAGGCCCAGAATGAAAATAATTTACATCAAATAGAAATATCTAAGGTAATAATTTTGAAAACAAAATTGTAGATTTTAGGCATAAAAGATAACATATAAGCAGCCAAGAATGTGTCCTGAGAACAGGAAGAGAGCAAGTAAGATACTGTATTTCAAAGAATCATAGTTGTCAAACTTTTTGAACTTAAGAACCTTTTAAACTTTAAAAACAGTAAGACTTTGTTTATAATGGGCTCTATTGATATTTATTACATAAGAAGTAAAAAAATGAGAACATTTACTTAATAATTCTATTAAGAAGTAATGTCACTACATGTTAACATACACAATTTTTATGAAAAACAACTATTTTCCTAAACCAAAAATTTTATGAAAAGAAAATTATTTTGTATATTTGCTAACCTCTTTTTTTAAAAAAATGTTTTATTGTGAATTATGTGATAGTTTACATGAGAGAACATTAGCTTTACATTCATCCTATCGTATATCGTTTCCTTGCCATGGCTACAACACCCTCCATGCATCAGCCTGTCCCCCTGGTCCTCAGCACACAGTCCCTCTCCCTCTCTGGGTCTAAAGTCCCCATCTCTAAAGCTGCTCCATCTCTCCATGTCATCATCTCTGCCTCCATCTCTGGCATCACTGCCTCTCTGGGTAGGGTCCCGCTCTCCGCTCTTCTCCCTTGGTGGTTCCAGGGATCTCCGCTCCTAGAATGCAAAATCAATCACTCCCCTCCTTTTGCTACAAAATGTCTACCTTTACATTCTCAACCCTCATAATCAGTCCTGATAACAATTATTCACTATTGTATCACAAGAGACTCATCCACACATCTCCTTTCATCAGACCTGCCTAGACAGATTGGATACTACTCAGTGGAGATTCTATCTTCCTCTGAGCCCTCTGGATCTAGGTTCCCTCTTAAAAGCTTGTAAGCCAGTCACTTCTTGCCTTTGTAACCCCCCCAATTTTAGGTAGCCACTGTCCAACTTGCCCATCCCTGTCTATTCTGTGTATGGAGGGGGTGGGAATGATCCTTACTGTAAAGATTTGTTCCCTTTTTTGAGCTACTGCATCCATAGGTGTAGGTCAAGTTCATCAAATTGTATCAGATTACTCTTTTTTTCCTCTTCTATGCCAACCTCTTTAATATGTAACTCAATAGAAGACAGATTCTCATATCTGCATTTAACCTATTACGTTATTGTATATCATGTAGTCTCTGGGAAAACAGCATGAGAATGAGTGCAAAAAAGAAAAAAAAGTCTCATCATAATTGTGAAAGTAGTTTAGCGTGTTATACACTGGGCTAACCAAAACGTCAGCAGTTTGAACCCACCAGTCACTCCATGGGAAAAGATTGGACTGATCTGCTCCTGAAATGATTAGCAGTCTCGGATGTCCAAAGGGACAGTTACACTCTACCCTAAAGGATTGGGATGAGTTGGAATCAAGTCGATGGCAGTAGGTAGGATATCAAGCACAAACTTAGGTAGTATACACTCTTTGGTTGTAATTTAAATCTCAAATGTTAAATATAATTAAAAATCCCTTACTTCTTTTCTGGTTCTTATGGCAGCATCTTGTACAAGCCGAGAAACTGTTGCTTTCATTTTCTCTATATCTTCTTCTTTTTGCTTCTCTTCTAGCAGGGCCTTTAGAAAACAGTAATTTCTAGGTGTTACACAGATATTACAAAGATAATAAAATAAATGGGGAAAAACCAATCTACTAGTCACTTTCTTGAAAGTAATCATTGTCTTCTATACTTTTTTAGACCTCTCCATTTAGAAATCTTGTCGAAATTATGAATGAAATTGACTTTTGCTTACTTCCTCACATGGTGGTCCTTTAACTAAAAACTTATTTATTTCCTTTGGTATCCATTTAAGCTAGTATATAAGCCACTTTCCTAGAATCACTGGAAATCCTAGAATCACTTTTGAATTTTCTTTATCTTCAAATACTATTTAAAAGAGGTCATCAAATTAAGGTACTATGTCCTTGGAAAAAACATTATCTGCCATCATTCAAATTCCTCACCACCCCAGATTGCCACATATACTTCCTGCTTTGTCTCCTTAATGTGTTTCTAACCCTCCAAACATTTCTGTCTCTCAACTAAAGAACCATTCTCATAATCCTAGTTTTGTTGCTAGGTCACATCCTATTTCTTTGCTCCCTGTGGAACAAAACTCTTCTAAAGTTTGCTCCCATCAACTCTTACACTTACCCCAATCAGGTTTGCTCCACCTATAACATTCATATTGATAATCTATGAGTTCATTTTAAGTATCTTATATGGTCTATCAGTTACACTTATAATTACTTTCTTTTCCTGGTTTTACTTTCTTTATTGGGCTTTATCACATGACAGAAATGGCTTTCCTTTGAGCTCACTGTTCATTCTTTTTCAGTCTGCATTGCTGGCTCTTCCTCCTTCTCCAAACCACTTAATATTAGTCTACCAAAGTTTAGTCCTTGGTCTTCTTCTTTATCTATCTCTTTTGCTTAGTGATCTAATCTCATGGTTTTAAATATCATTTAAGTACGATATACAAGTATATATCTCTAACCAAAATAGCTTCCAGAACTATGAACTTCTCTGATTAGGTTTGAGTGATGGCAGAGGCCATGCCATCAAGGAACAGAACGGCGAGAGACCCTGCTCATGAAAAGCTCATTGTTTTAGCAAAGCGACAATGAGGGTCTCCTTGGTTGGCAAAGCCCCAAGGGGAACCTAATGCAAGGGCCTTGCAGTTTCTGTTTTTTCCTTTTATGAATAGTTTATTTTGGATTTTTCTTGATTTTATTATAGAAGTTTTTAGTAGAATTCTTCAATGATCATATTAAAGGTTAAAATTACATTTAGATACCTTAATACCATATTCAATCATGTGTAGTCCTAAAGAATGCTTTTTACATTAACAATAAGTTTTACCACTAGGAGAAACCACACCAGCTAAAGTTTTGCCAATTCAAGTTTAAGACAACAATCAACATTCTGTTCTACATTCTGTGTAGTTTTGGTCAGGGATATTAAAACTCCTGGAAAGTAGCTTAGACACAATCAAGGGCTGAGGGAACACTAATAGATCTTAGGTACAACTTTAACTAGATGTTTTGAATAGGGAAGTTGTTAGTATAAGGAAGTTGTTCCGTTTATTCTTTTTTTTTTTTTTTAATGTTTTATTGTGAATTATATAATAGTTTACATGAGAGAACTTTAGTTTTACATTCATTCCATCCTATATCATCTTTTTGCCTTTGCCATGGTTCCAATCCCCTCCATGCATCATCCACCAACCCAAGGGTATATCCTACATACCTGCCCCCTACACGTCCCCTTCCCCCCTGCTCCCACTTTGCGACCCACAGTCCCTTTTCCTCTCTGGAAAAGGGATCCAAAGTTCCCAGCTGCTTCATCACTCCACATTGTCTTCTCTGTCTCCATCTCAGGCATCTATGTTTCTCTGGGTAGGGTCCCGCTCTCGGCTCTTCTCCTTTGATGGTCCCAGAGACCTCCACTTCTAGACTGGAGAATTAATCACTCCCTTCCTTGTTACAAACGTCTACCTTTGCATTTCCAACCCTTATAATCAGTCCTGATACGCATTATTCACTACAGTCTCACGAGTTACCCATCTGTGTTTCCTTTCATCAGTTCTGCTCAGACGGATTGAATAGTACCCACAGGAGATTCTGCCTTCCTCCATGATCCCTAGCACTAGGTTCCCTCTTGAAAGCTTGTAAGCCAGTCACTTCTTGCCTTTGTTGTCCCCCACTCCCCATTTGAGTATACAATGACCAAGTTGCCCATCTCCGTCCACTCTGTGTGTGGAGGGGGTGGGAATGATTCTTACTGTAAGGATTTGTTCCTTCTTTTGAGTTGCTGTTCTATAGGTATAGGTCAAGTTCATCAGATTGCATTAGCTCACTTTTTTTTTCTCTCCCCTCTTCTTTCTTTTCTGATTTGAGCTTCGAACATCCAGTCATCCGGTCAAGGTCACGTGGGTATCATCTGCAAGTGTGGGCGCTCCTGTGCACATGCCCTCTCTTCCCGTCAG